CCTCTCATGGCTCGCTGCCAAGTGATGGAAGTTCTACAAGTCTTTTCATACTCACGGCGACATCTGTACAACCCCCAAACCTTCGGCGACTTAACACAGCTGGAAGTGCCCAGACCCATAGTAAGCATCTCTATAGAAAATGAAGATGGAGGAGCAGCATCTAACTCACTCTCAGCTGCCTCCTCTTTGTTTTTTTTCGAAGTGAGAAGCAATAAAAGCTGATTTACGTCATCAGAGAAGGCAGATGTGATGGATGCAGGCAGACTGAAGAGATGCTGCTTTTACTGCTGGGTTTTTGGAGAGGAACCACGTTAGCAGGGAGGAGACCGAACGCTTGAGGGGGGAGTCAGTGCTGAGCCAGAGTGCAGCTCCAAACTTCGCTCTTGTGTCTGGAAAGCAGGTAAGCCTTGCTTTCCGGACGCAAGAGCGAAGTTTGGAGCTGCCTAAATCCCGATTTCTGCAGCGGGGGATTTCCTGGAGGAGGCTGAGCTGGCACCCAGCTCGTCACCAGGGTGCTACTGGGTGATGGATGGTCACTGGCAGAGCTCAGCACCCCCAGGAGAGATGCCATAATGTCCGTCTCAGAGGAGCTGAGTTAAGGTTGACATTTCAAAAAAGGGCATTGGCATTCAAACCTTCCCGTTTTGTGCTCCGAGGCTTTGAATCACAGGCTCTGGCTCGTGTCGACTGGCACCCAAAGGTCACCTGTATCAAAGACTGCCTTTGGCTTCGCAGTTTGGGGTGTCACAGCCCAAGTTATACCTACGGAGCACGGCTCAGATGGCAGCTTCACTCCCTGCATCTGCCCTCTCCTTGCGTACTCTTCTTCTTCTCCTGGGTGTGTTTCTCCTGCCCAGGTGCAGAGCTCTATGGCACTGAGCTGACGGCTGGGTTTTTCAAATCACATCACGAGGTTTCGGTTCCTTCCCAATAGATCCTACAGGACTGAGCATCCTTGAGAATATCAGGACCAGGGGCAGAGGGAGGTGATAACTGAGGATTATAAATAAGTGGACATGAGAGGGTGTAGGGTGTCTCAGTCAGTCTGGAGGGACATAGTCGTGATGTTAACACCACCCTGAATTCTGGCATCAGTACAACCCAGACAATCAGGTGACTTCATCACACAGTTTGCTAGAGCTCCCAGACCTGGCTCAAAGAGGCTGGAAACCACCGCTCCCCCGGTCTTTTGGGGAGGAGGCAACGGGTACCTAACAGCATTCTTGCCCTCGATTCCTTCCTCACCATCAGCTTTCTGCAAGCCTGACACCTTTACCAGCAGGAGAATAAAGAGTCTCAGAGTGACAGCGCTGGCAGGAGCGAGCCCGCCGTGCTGCCGCAGACCGGGCACAGACGAAATCATTACCGAGTCCGAGTCCGGCCTCCGATTCCTTTTCGTTAGACAAATGCGACCGGGTGCCTGCCGCAGCCGTCGTTAGTCCCGAAAGCGTGCACCCCCGTCACACCACATGAACGGCCAGAAGATGGAAATGAGTCTTCTGTGTGCTTAATTCGCTCATATTAATTGCGCTCTAATACCAGGGAGCGCGCAGGCTCTCGCTGGCTTTACTTCCAGATGGTATTTTGAGCCTAATGGCACAGTGGGAAGTCATAAAAGCTCTCCTAGAGCAAATTACCTGAGGAACCAAACAGTTCCAGTCTTACTCAGGAAAATGAATTTCTGTAGCCTGAAGAACCAGGTTCCACTCCCAGCCCGAGCCTGCCTCGGGCGCGCACGGCCGTCCCGCACCTCTGCGCCACGGCATCACCGCTTCCTTCGTGTTTGTTTTAAGCACCCACCTAGATGTATCTCCTCTCTCTGGATATAGGGTCCCATTAACACATTTTGAAAACACACAGGTCAGCTAGAGAGGAGAAATAAACCACCGTGACTTTCCCGGTTCAAGGAAGCATTACCTGGGCATGCAGACTTGACTTCGGAGAGTGCGGAGGAGGACAAATGTCCCCAGGATTTCGGAGTCAAGGGGGAGTGATCAACAAAAGCACATTACTGTCGCAGACCAGCGAGCGCTTGGCGACCTCTGAGGAGCTGCTGGCTACATGGTATCCCATAAAGAAGTGTTGGGGCCACCAAGACCCAGTTAGACTCACCGTGGTTTCATCTTCATGGAGCACCTGGTCATAGCCACTCAGCGCGACACAGAAAATGATCGCTGTGACATCCTCAAAGCAGTGAATCCACTTCTTGCGTTCTGACCGCTGGCCCCCGACATCGAAGAGCCTACGGCACAGGAGAGGACCGTCAGCGCCCACGCTCTCTTAGTTATGAGGAAACTTTGGCATTTTTGGACCACATGGTCCCTGGAAGGCTCCAAACCTCAAGCAACAGGTCTTTAACCACTGGCTTGGTCTTCTCCTCCAGAGCCTGGAGCCGAGGAGGACCAGGGGGAGCAGTTGGAGGTAGGGGTGTGGGGATTCCTGGGACAGCCGCAGCAGAGTGCTGGGTCCCAAAGGGCCCACGGAAGAGGACTCCACACACTCTTGAGTTTTATATGCCCCAAATACTGTCTGTGTGTGACTTTCTGTCTTCATGCCTTTTCCTCTCTACCAGCTGGCATCATGAGTGTCAATATACAGCGTTAACCATGTGTGACTGACCCACTTCAGAGAAAAGATTTGGCCAAATATTTTTACGTTGATGAGCCTCATCAGACCTGGGGCCGGTCTCATACTATACCTCCCAGCAAAGTGGTGTCGTTTGGGTTAGAAGAAGGTATCGTGAGCTCCTATCTTAAAGACAGTGATTTTCAAGACAAGATGGCCGAACACCGCGTATCGTTGACCCCCAAATCGTGGCCCCCCAACCCGCCGTGCCCTCTGCGGCGGGAGCCATCCGTGTGTTAACCAGCAGTTTAACAATTTCTCCTTCGGGCACTATGGGGAAATGACGTGACGAATAGACGCCCTGAAAACATACTGTGCAGTTTTAGACTAACCTGAAGTGGAGGTTTTTGAATGTGAAGTGGGTTTCTACGATGCCAGTTGTTTTGACCCTGGTTCGGAGGATATCCTGCTCCGTGGGCTGGTAGTCTGCAGCTCCGATTCGATCTAAGCTGTCTAGGTAGCTAAGAGAAGAAGGGAAAAGAAAAAGAAAACAGATAAGAATAAGACACACATTAATCTTTGCCAATCTCAGATGAGTCCTTCAGCTTCCTATTAATCTTTTTCAATCTCGTTTTTCATGGCTGAACGTATTGTAGCTAAAGGAAAAAAAAATCCTGTTCTGAGGAGAAAGAAATGTTGCACAAACCCCACTAACCCAGGCATAAAATCTGATAGTGAACTGAAAGCAGGAAATTAAGTGTGTGTGTGGTGTGAGCCCTGACTGCAATCTGTGAAAATATACAGTTTTAATATTCCTTGCTATTTTTATTCCCTGAAGAACGAAGGTCCCGACCGGTCCGTTGTGCTGGATGCTCCACACGCACGTGCTTTTCTGCAAGGGTTTATTCGCAACGTCACAGCCTTTTCGCGGAAGAGGCCGGAGCATTTAGGTCTCGCTCCCAGAACAGACAGGTCGAGGCACCTTTGGGAGATGCTTCTCTCTGCGCCGGGAAGGGAGGGAGACGGGGCGGCTTGCTCCGACGAGACGCAGTCAGCTCAAATTAAGGGAGATGAATGTGCCCGAGTGAGTCACAGCTTCGGTTTGGAACCCAGCGTAGGGCTGGGGCTGTGGGAGGTGCAGCGCTTGGACAAAATCCAAGGGCCCGCTTAGATGGAGATAATCGAGGAGTTTAAATCGGTTTTTTTTTGCAGGGTGGAGGGAGACTTAGCTTTCTGAAACACTTGGATAGTTTTAAAACATTTACCCTTATTCTGGTCTAGGCTTAAAATCTATGGACATAGGCAATGCCTCCACGGGCTGAAATTTTGGGTAGGAAGTCCTGTCTTTCAGTGTGAAACGTTTTTGTAGAGGAATCCAACAGCTGCGCACATACAATCACAATCCATTTTTTCATCCGCATTCAAGATAATTTCTCAAAACAACCCAGCCCAACTAAATGTAATTTACGAAGAAAAGAGGAATTTGGATTATGATTTAATACAAATCATAAACACAGCACTGCACCACACAGTGAAGTCTTTCTCACCGCCGTCGAGCTGCATATAGACACTCCAGTTCCTCTTAAAGAGGATTTGATGTGCATTACGGGGCCTAAATGCCTCCTACCTCTAGCCCCAGGAGCATCATTCTAATGCACATGAGATGCTTTCAATATACTGTGAATATAATAAAGCAGCTCTGCAGGTGACACAGCAGGGGCAGGAGAGGGGGGGACGGACCTGTTCAGGTGTTGGCCAGAGGATGGGAGCTTTGACTAGTGTGGCTTGCAGAGAACAAAGAGAAGTAAGTAAGTAAGTAGTAAGTAAGAGGAGTTGTAAGGAAGGAGAAGACATCGTTGTCCCCAGTGAGTATGAGTTTACCGGTGAGCGCAAGTTAAGTATGAGCTGGAACCATTCACATAAAGACAGCCATGATGTCTGAGCTCAACTTTCTCTTTCACTTTAGCTAAATGTGATTTTTTTTTTTTTTTAACATACAGTGTAGGTTTAGCCCTGATGAGCAACTGAGTCACACCGACTCGCTAGCACGCACATTTCCCCCTGTGCCTTGCCAAAGCACATCCCGCTTGGCCTGAACGTGACGCCCTGTCCTGCCGCTGGAGATGCTTTCCCTGCTTGTGTTAGAGAGCAGAAGGCTTCCCATCTGTGTCCTGGAGGGAATGCTGGGAGCCAGGGCGCCGGTGCACTCTGCTACCCAAGGAAACTCACTGCCACTGGCTTTTGTGCCTGCCACGCCAGCCGGGAAGAACAAACAGACACCCAAACTCTACGCCAAGGTGAAAAACAAACCTCGCCCGCTCAAATCATCTATTTTGGCTGCCTGTCACTTGTTTTCGCTCAAGAACTGCAAGAATTGTGTCACCCAGAGAAAAGTATAGAAACTAAGCAGGCTTATTTCCATTGTGCTCTTTTCCAAACATTTAAAGCCGTTGTGTTTTTGTGACAGATGCTCCCTTAATAGCCTTATGATGGGCCCTGGATGGATGAATGGGGCTTCACTTGAAATCAGATCCTCTGCCGTGATGGCTGAAGCCACCATCACTCATCTATTCACAACTGGTGGCAACTCCCGTTCCTTAAGAGACATCTGCATTTCTCCACGTGTCTCCGCAGACCGGGGCGGCTCTGCAGCGGCGCCAGCCTCTCCTCTGTCCTCAGGAGCAAAATACTTCGAGGTGATGGTAAAAAGTGGAGCTGTAAGAGAAGGAAGGATTTTCTTTCCCTCTTGCAGGTGTTGACAGTACCCTGAAGATCTTGGTAAAAAGTGGAGCTGTAAGAGAAGGAAGGGTTTTCTTTCCCTCTTGCAGGTGTTGACAGTATCCTGAAGATGCTTCTCTCTTCCTCCACCTTCATTTTCTGTAT